TGCACTCCAGTCTGGGCCACAGAGTGAGACGCCAACTCAAAAAAAAAAAAAAATGGCCACAACTGAACTTTCGATTTCAGAACCTCTCCTCCCACATTCCTACCCATCTCAGGAATAGCATCACCGCCCACAGGTGCTTCAGCTAAAATCTTTGAGTCATCCTTGATTCCTCTCATCTCACCACCCACATCTGATCCATCAGTCCGCCCCCCCACGCAGAATCCTCCCTTGGCTTCACGTCATTCAGATTAAAAGTCAAAGTCCTCCCGGTAGCCCTCCAGGCCCTGCCCGTCTGGCCCCTTCTCCTCACACCCTCTCTGGCCACACTGGCCTCCCTTCCGTCCCTCTGGCTCCCACGTTTCAGCCTGGACACCTGCTGTCCCATTTGCCTGGGACACCACAGCCTCCCCTTCGCATAGTTACCCACCCTTCAGCTTCAATGTCCCCCCTCCACAAGGCCTTCCTCAGCCAATCTGTTTACAGGGCTGACTCCACCCTGCCCCTCCCACTCCAGGCTCATTCTCTCAGCCCCCAGATCAGAACCTGCAGCTACTTCGTCTAGTGAGTTGCCTTCCTCTGCCCTTGCCCCAGGGACTACCAGCTCCAACATGGGTCCTCTGTTTGGTCACAGCTGCACCTTCAGGAGTAACCAGGGCCTGACACACAGCAGGTGCCCAATGAAGGAAGCATCTTGAACACTGAGAAAAGTCTTGAACTTTGTTACACCTCTTGAAAATTAACAAGTCCTTAAAAAAGTCCTGGTCGGGCGCGGTGGCTCGTGCCTGTAATCCCAGCACTTTGGGAAGGAGCGGCAAGAGGACTGCCTGAGCCCAGGAGTTCAAGACCAGCCAGGGCAACTTGGCAAGATCTCATCTCTACAGTAAATAAAAAATGTAGCTGGGCATGATGGTACACGGTTGTAGTTCCAGCTACTTGGAAGGCTCAGGAGGAAGGATCACCTGAGCCCATCAGGTCAAGGCTGTGGTGGCTGTGAGTGTGCCACTGCACTCCAGCCTGGGAGACAGAGCGAGACTCTGACTCAAAAAAAAAAAGAATCCTGTTAAACCATAAAAAGACTGAAAAGCATGCTGTACAATACTCTTTTTTTGAGTCAGAGGCAAGAGGATTGCTTGAGCCTACACACCCCAAACCCGAATCTGCTCGAACTTCTCAGTGCAAGTTCCCATCTACAGGAAACACCGAGGACTAAGAAATACATGAAATGACACCACAAGGATGCATCAGCCAGATCCAAACTGTGAGAAACTCTATAAATAGGGCAGCCCTAGCCAAGGATAGACTTAGTGTGAAAAAATAGTGGACATGTCAAATTAATCGTGTTTTATATTGATCTACATGTTGAAATAATATTTTGGATATACTAGGTCACATGTGTGTGTTCTTGTTTAAAAACATGGCTGCATCCTAGAATAAGGATGTTACTTTTCTTTTTTTTTTTTTTTAGTCGAGTTTTCACTCTGTCACCCAGGCTGGAGTGCAGTGGGACGTTCACAGCTCACTACAGTCTTGACCTCCCGGCCTCAGGTGATCCTTCCACCTCAGCCTCCTGAGTAGCTGGGAATACAGACAAGCACCACCATGCCCAGCTAATTAGAGACGAGGTCTCGCTATGTTGCCCAGGCTGGTCTGGAACTCCTAAGTTCAAGGAATTCTTCCACCTTGGCCTCCCAAAGGGCTGGAATTACAGGCACATGAGCCATCGCCCCTGGCCAGAAATGTGAAAATTTTGCGTGTGGCTAAGACCATATTTCTGTTGGGCAGTGCCCCAGCACAGGAACAACACCTTGGGTCTCTAGTAGGTAAAATGCAAAGAAAAAGAAAACATGATGGAGAAGGAGAGATAGATGCAGGGGGATTTAAGAAACATCAGCCAGCTGCAATGGATGGGCCTTGTTTGGATCCTGGTTCAACAAAACTGCAAAAAAATCATCTAGGATAGTTACAAGATTTGAAAATTCGAATACTGACTAGATAATTGGATGATTTAAAGACTTGTGGAGAATTTTGTTTTATTCTTATTGTTCTGTTTTTGGTTAGGAGTGATAAGGACATTGTGGTTTGTCAGCTAAAAGGAAAGCCTTTGAAGATCACACATATTTTATGGTACCATTTGCATGAAGTGTCCAGAATAGGCAAATTTGCAGACAGAAAAAAGGTTAGTGGTTCCAGGGGCTGGGGAGGCAGTGAGAAATGGAAAGTGACTCCCAAAGGGGATGGATTCTTTCAGGGGGAAGATTAAAATGTTTTAAAATTAGGTTGAACCTGGGCAACATAGTGAGACATCGTCTCTACAAAAATTAAAAAAGTTAGCCGGGCATGGTGGTGCATGCCTAATGTCCCAGTTGCTAGAAGACTGAGGCAGAAGGATCATCTGAGCCCAGCAGATTGAGGCTGCAGTGGCCGTGAGCATCCATTGCACTCTGGCCCGGGGGACAGAGCGAGACCCTGACTCAAATAAATAAATGAATAAATAAATAAAATTAGATCATAGGCTGGTTGCAATAGCTCAAGCCTGTAATCCCAGCACTTTGGGAGGCCAAAGTGAGGGGACTGCCTGAGCCCATGAGTTCGAGAATAGCCTGGGCAACTTGGTGAGACCTTGTCTCTACAATAAATCAAAATATTAGCAGGGCATGGTAGCCGGTGCCTACAGTTCTGGCTACTTGGAAGGCTGAGGCAGAAGGATGGCCTGAGCCCAGAAGGTCAGCGCTGGGGTGGCCATAAGCATGCCACTGCACTCCAGCTTGGGTGACGGACTGAGACTCCAACTCAAAAAAAAAAAAGATATTAGATTGTAATGATGGTTGCACAATTCTGTAAATACACTAAAAACCATAAAATTGTACATTTTAAATGGATGGATTTCATAACCTGTAAATTATGTTTCAATTAAGATGCTTTAAAAAGGAAGTCTTTTTTTATTTTTATTTTTTTGAGACAGAGCCTCACTCCATCACCCAGGCTAGAGTGCAGTGGTGCAATCATAGTTTACTGCAGCCTCAAACTCCTGGTCTCAATGATCCTCCCACCTCAGTCTCCCAAAGTGCTGCAATTACAGGCATGAACCACCACACCCAGCCAAGAAATCTTTTAATTAAGAGATACACAGCAGAAGCTTTGCAGATAGAAAAATAAATAAATAAAACCTCAAGACAGCTTACTGACCAGAAATAAATCAGTAGCTTAATATGTAGCTTCACCAGAAAAGGCTTTCTGGCAGCTGTTTTGGAATTTGCAAAGTACTTCATTAATGAAGATGTGCTTTGTAAACTTTCAGGAACTCTGTCAAGTCCAGGCATCGTGACTCACGCCTGTAATCCCAGCACTTTCAGAGGCTGAGGCGGGAGGATCATGTGAGACCAGAAGTTCAACCACCCTGGGCAACACAGTGAGACCCTATCTCTACAAAAAATAAAAACAAAAATTAGCCGGGCATAGTGGCGTGTACCTGTCATCCTAGGAGGCTGAGGCAGAAGGATTGCTTGAGCCTAGGAGGTCAAAGCTGCAGTGAGCTATGATCGCATCACTGCACTCCAGCTTGGGCAACAAAGCAAGACCATGTTTCTTTTTTTTTTTGAGTCGGAGTCTCACTGTCGCCCAGGCTAGAGTGCAGTGGCATGCTCGTGGCCACTGCAGCCTCAACCTGCTGAGCTCAGGTGATCCTTTCACCTCAGCCTTCCAAGTAGCTGGAATCACAGGCACACACCACCACGCTCAACTAATTTTTTTTATTTATTGTAGAGATGAGGTTTCACCAAGTTGCCCAGGCTGGTCTTGAACCCGTGGGCTCAGGCATCCTCTCACCTTGGCCTCCCAAAGTGCTGGGATTATAGATGTGAGCTGCCATGTCCAGCCAACCCTATCTCTAAAAACAAAAAACAAACCAAAAAGCCCTCTGTCAACCATGAAGAACTTGGGAAGCCATAAAACAACGCAAGATTTTTTAATGCAAATTTGCATATGAATGGAAATGCAGAAAAACGCATCTGGAAAGAGGTACAGCGAATGGTTAACAGCGGCAGCTTTTGGGGCAGTGGGATGAGAACAGGACTGGGGATGGGGACCAAAGGTGACCACAACCACAGCTGTAAATTTTTTTTACAAGAGGAATGTCTTTCTTCTTCCTTTTTTTTTTTTTGAGTTGGAGTCTCACTCTGTCGCCCAGACCACAGCCTCGACCTGCTGGGCTCAGGCAATCCTTCCACTTTGGCCCTCCAAGTTGCTGGAACTACAGGCCTGAGCCACCACACCCAGCTAATTTTTTTGATTTATTGTACAGACGAGGGGTCTCACCAAGTTGCCCAGTCTGGTCTCGAACTCCTGAATTCAGACAAACCTCTTGTCCTAGCCTCCCAAAGTGCTGGGATTACAGGTGTGGACCACTGTACCTGGCAGAGGAATGTCTTTCTATTTAGTTAGTATTGCCTATTTAGTTAAAAATTAACAAAAGATTTAAAAGTCTTTTCTTTTCTTTTCTTTTCTTTTTGAGTCGGAGTCTCACTGTGTAGCCCAGGCTAGAGTGCAGTGGCATGCTCATGGTCACTGCAGCCTCAACCTGCTGGGCTCAGGTGATCCTTCCACCTCAGCCTT